TATATATATATATATATATATGTGTGTGTGTGTGTGTGTGTGTGTATGCATTCATTTATTGATGTCTATGTTTCTGACGGGCTTAGATGGGGCCGCATACCTGCTTTGCTGTGCAGCTTAAGAAGTATTCTAGACAGATACTTCTGGTTAATGAATAAATCATCAGTAACCTTACAAGAAGACAGCCAGCCCCCCACGTACACTCTAGAAAACTTCACCAATATCGATTTTAATACAAAATGAAACCACGATTCTGTTCATTTCCAACGAAGCAATTTTTTCAGGAATTTTGGACCTGTCTGGGTGAAATGAAAATTGAATTCATGTAACAAGAGAAAGATTTTTCATTCCTAGAACTTTGGCTCGGAAACACAAAAGTATATGAGTTCCTACTTCACTTCAATTTTACATTTAATAAAAAATATTTTATTTATTCTTATTCCTACATTTTCCTATCTCCTTAGAATGTTACTACATTTGGATAAAATTGAAATGATTATGTTGTGCAAGTTAGGTAAAACATTCCAGCGATTCTGAAAACATTTAAACGTTGTTGATTGCAGTACTCTTAGAGGATTTGCGGCAACATCATTTTTCTTGCAGGATTATTTGGATCTTTTAGCAACGTTTATCCATCATTCATTTTTGCAAGCTCCTATCATTTCATACATGTTTCTGATCTTATCTATATGGTAACTTAATGCCAATGACGTGATAATTTTGTTTTGTTCTGAATCTGTAGGGTGATATATCCATTCACCATTTTTTTAAAGGATACACTGAAGGTCGCACACATGGTACATCCTGGCCTGAAATGCTGAAGCTGACTGGTTGGCCCCAGTCCACTTTAATTGCGGAGCGAATGCCACGCCATAATCACGAATTTCTTAATGCATTGCCCTATAAAGAATACACTGACCCACATTCTGGAATTCTAAGTTTGTCTGCAAAGTTATTGCTGAACCGCCCAGAGCTGGGACCCAAGACATATATTGCCTATGGCTATCCCGAAGAGCTGGGACGTGGGGATTCAGTGACTAAGCTTCATTTTGATGTTTCGGATGTGGTAAGTGTTATAAAGTATATCAAGAAACTGTTTACTGCTACATTAAACTATTTTGCACAAGACAGCATGCACAACTGTCAGATAATCAGTCATGCCCTTTTTCCTTGTGTAGTCACTTCACAGAAGCAAGATTGTTAGTTTCATTGATATACCAAGTAATCAAACTAGTTAAGACAAGTAATTCGCTATGCACTTTTGTCGGGTTATATTAGACCACCTTGATATCTTGTGGCAAGCGTCCAATACAGTTGATGCATGCAAGAATATGAGTTTCCTAGAAATCAATGCTCGTCTTAATCCATCACTATTGTTCTTCTTCCACAAGAAGCTATTATTTTTTGTTTATACTTTTATTATCTAGTCTTATATCTGTGCAGGAACTAATCAGAAATACTTTACTTTTTTTTTTTTTTTT